TCAAAATGTCCTGTAACTGTGGTGAGTCACCTGTCCTCTTGTTCAGGGAGGCCATGGAGACCCCACGAGATGAACCAGTGTCCAGTCTACAAAGAGGAGGGTCAACTCAGAGGAAACATCTCATTCATGCCTTCAAGTGAAGCCAGTCACAGTCAAGCAGGACCTTTGACTTATCTTCACATAGATGGAACTGGTAAAAGAAAGGAGCCAGGGGCTCCCCCCAAGCCCATGTAACCTGAGGAACTTATCCTCAAATGACCCTAAGTGTAAAAATAAATAGATTTATTTGGGCCAACTGTATGGTCTTCAACACCCAAAAGGAAAGTATAACCAAAGAGTAAAGTCATCAGTATATTTCTTTAAGAGTTCAAAGGATTACACTTTCCAGACATTAGGCTTAATCCCATATAAAAAGTTATTCAGACAATTATTTCTCATTGGTGATTTTGTTCCTAATCAGAAAGTGCTGCTCAGATTAAGACTTCAAATCTTGGTCTCCAATACTGTAGTGCCCACCTGTAGCTAAGGGAGACAACCAGCTATTGTTCTAAAATGATGGATTAATTTGTGTTCTCCCCCTATCTAGAAGCCTAGAGAGGGAACCGACACTGATTCTAACCACTCCAACAGCTGTCAAAATATCTGAAGGCAAATCCTGAATCCATCACTCATGAGGAGGAACCCAATAGAGAGATGCTTTTGGAAGCCCTTGTCAAGAAATTCCAACGAACTCTCATATGAACATTTGAAAATTGTCCTGTTCTTTTTTCTAGTTCCCTGTCTAGAACTTGTAATGATAATTAGTCTTGCCTTTACTTCTCTTTCACAAAAGATAAAAGTTATGCAATTTGGGAGTCTTTTAGATAGACCCACTGAAGGGGTACCCCAATTGCCTCACCCTGTGTCCCTGTTCAGCACGGAAGAAGCCAGAGCAGTCTGTGTCTTGATTCCCTATCAGCAAGTTGGGTAACCTCTTCAGAGGATGGTGTGATAATAATAGGAGGTAGGAATTGGCTAGGCAGTTACGGTAAAAAGACCCCAAAGAAAGTTGCCATTTTCTTGGCTAAAAGTCACAGTGTCCTTGGGCCTCTTCGCAACATACTCTGCTCCAAAGGACAAAAATGTCGAAAGTATTTGGGAGCTTTTATTTAATCCTTATAAGATTTTAGGGTTCCCTCTTCAAAGGGGGTGATGTTAGAGTAGCAAAAAGCCTCATAAGTAGAAAGAGTACATGAAGTCATCAGAAAAAAGTGATGGGGAGACATGGGAGGAGTTGGGAGGGGAGGGAGTGGGCGTGGATTTGCTCAAAACACCTTATGTGTATGTATGAAATTCTCAAATTATTTAAAAAAATGAGATCTTCATGTTTTGTATTAAAATATTTTATATTAATCATTCAAACTTCATTTTTACACAATGAATGCGTACATCACTGGGGGTCCTCAGGGATTCAGGCAGGACCTGGAGGTGGGAGCTCATCTGCAGCCAGGAGACTGGAGGCCCCGTGTTCTCTGCCAGCTGAGGGGAGTGTTCTGGAAGGAAGAGCCTGATTGATCACCCTGGAGGAAGGCTATTGCAGAGATAGATGAAGGCTTCCAGCCCCTTCTATGTGCAGCTGCGTCCTAGGCAACCACAGAGAGACCTGTGTCGACCACTTCTGAACAAGCTCCCAGGTCCCTGTGGCCAGCTAGTTCTTGGCTGCTGGTGGCTATGGCATGGCTTGAAGCGAGCACTGAGTGTGGATGTGTACATAGAGACATCTGTGATTTCCCCTGGAGCCCACCTAGGCTGGCATGTCAGCCTTGCTGAGCGCGATGGCCAGCTCCAGGTCCTCCTGCTCCTGTCTCCGCAGCCGTGCCAGCCGCTCCTGCTCAGCCTTCTCGCTCTCCCGCTTGGCCCAGGCCAGCTGCTGTTCCTCATTGCCAAACTGTAAGGGAAGAATAAGAGGTGATGGTTAGCAGGCTGCACCTGCTGCTCAGGCAGGCAGACAGAGTCTGGGCAGAGGCCCATGCCATGTCACCCTTGTCCCCACTCTTGAGCATGAAGAAGCAGGCTGTATCTGACCTGAGCTGCCAGCCCAGAGGACCAGGCACCTACCCTGCAGAGAAAGACAGGCAGGCCTCAGGTGCTAAGGCTGGAAGGTTCTATCACACAGTGCCAACAACATGAAGCTTGTGCTTCTGCCTCAACCTACTCTGCAGACACACCCTAAGGGTTTCTTTCCCTCTCTCTTTTGGAGACAGAGTGTGTATAAGTAGCTCAGTATGGCCTAGAATTCGAGGTAATTCTTCTGCCTTAGCCTCCCCAGTGTTGGGATTTTAAAAAAATGTTTATAAATTTTTTTGCCTACATGTAAGTGCACCTATGGGCGCAATGGCTGCAGAGGCCAGAAGAGGGCATCGGACCCCTGGAACTGGAGTTATGGTCAGTCATTCACTGCCAAGAGGGTGCTGACAACCAAACCTGGGTCCTCTACAAGAGCAGCCAATGCTCTTAACCGCTGAGCCATCTCTCCAGCACCCCCTTTTTTGGGGGGTGGGGGTGGGACAGGGACTTCCTATAGCCCAAGCTGGCCTGAAACTCAGAAAGATCCTTCTACCTCTATCTCTACTTCTGCCTCTGCCTCTGCCTCCCAAGTGCTGAGATTAAAGGTTTGGTTAAACTTTTTTACATGGTGGAGAAAATCCCCAGATCCTGGTGATTTCAAAGGACTGTAAGTGGTAAGGCTGTGAAAAGTCACATCCTCACAGCTTGTGGTTCTCCTCCAGCCTCCCCAGAGAGGTCTCCAGCCCCCAAGGGAATCCACTACTGGTTTAGAGACCTCAATGGCTCCCTTAGCCACTGTCTTTTCCATGTACTGCTTCCATCCATGACCTCAGAGACAGGACTCTGGCCCTTGGGAGCAGACAGACAGGAACAGGCCTGAGAACAGGCCCCAGAGAAGACCCTCAGCCTCTATGAGGAGAGAGGCAGGAGGCAGGGAAGGCATAGGGGAACACTTGGATGCTTCTTCACCCAGGGCTGGGCCCTCAGGATGACCTCTGTGGTCATCCTTTCCTAAAGGCTTGGTACCCTGGTGGCCTAGAGCCTTGGGAACGTTCCCAGAACAGCTCTGCTGGTTTTGTTTTTTTTTTTTGGGGGGGGGGGCTCTCCTTCAGAAGAGGGTATGACTTAGAACCACTGGAGAGGAGGTGGGGCCCAGGAGTTCCACAGGGACTCAGAGAGGGGACAAGTGGGGGTGGCTTCTGTGAGAGTGTCTGGGAGGAAGAATCTAGCCTAGGTCTCCCTGAAGTAAGGCCAGGTTGGTCTCTTGGAAGCTGAGGTCCTCTGATAGCAGGTCACAGGTCTCCCTGTCTGCTCCATCCCCATTTTCAAGAATTTTCCCAAGGTCTTAACAGGATAAAACAGGCTCCACAGCCCCAAAGCAAGGTGGCTGAGACCAGCCTGCCCAAGCAAAGCTGAGCACCAAAGCCCAGAGGGTTGTCAAGCGGGTGGTCAGCTTCCATACCATGGCCCACGGGGCACACATGGCCGGCCCAGCATACTGCCTCACAGTCTCCTCAGAGGGTCTCAGTTCCTCCAATCAGACACACCAACTGGAAGTTCCAGTGTTTCAGAGCCTGCTGGCTGGAGGCCAGTGAGGGAATCCCCGAGGCCTGTGTCATGCACTTGGGCTGACAGAAGTGTCCAGGATTTTTCTCAATGGCTGGCTGTCTTAGATGAGAAAAGTGTTTGCTAGCCCTGGTTAGAGATGCCTGAATAGGGTTACCTCCCGGTTCTCCTGGGTCACCTGATTGGCCAGGACCTGGACCATCTGGGGTGTACTGACTCCAGAACAGCAGTTTGGATGCTGTTTCCCTTCCATGCTGTCACAGGGCCCAAGATGGCTGTGAGGCCAGCTTTCTCAAATACCTCCCTCAGCAAGACTTTTGTGGAGGTTATTCCTGAAGCCTCTGGAAACCCAGGGTTCCTTTGTTCAGAAGACGTGAACAGGCCCCACCTCCTGTCCACTGCCTGCTCTTACGAATCTCTGATGACCAAAGCCCAGTTTAACCAATCCAGCACTGCTCTTAGGGAAGACAGCAGGAAATAGCAAGCTCTTCCACTCACCTCCCCTACTTCCTAAGGAACACAGAATGAATGGATTTTTGGTTTATGAGCAGGGTTTCAGGTAGCCCCAGGCTGGCCCTGAGGTCTCTGGCTTAGGAGGTGCATCACTGTCCCCTACTTAAGTAGAAGGCTTGTCAGTGAAAAGAAACTTGTTTTGAGGCAAAGTATCACTGCGTAGACCAGGCTGACCTCAAACACAGAGATCCACCCGCCTCTGCTTCCCGAGTGCTGGGATCAAAGACTGTGTCACCATGACCAGCCCAAGCTTCTTTTGTTTGAGACAAGGTCTCCTGTAGCCCAAGAGTCACTTGAACTAGTTATATAGCCAACCTTCCATTCACCTGCCTCTGCCTCCTGAATACTGGGATGACAGGCCCAGATTGTATAGTGCTGGGGATGAACCTGGTGCACTCTGGGCAAGTGCTCTCTCTACTGCATTGCAATCCAAGCCTTGGAAGCAGCTTGTATGGACAGCCCCACACATGACCTATGTTCCTCAGACGGCTCCAGGGTGAGGAGCAGGTACCAAGGACGGAACTGTGGGTGCCGTTTGTGTGACATCAGTTTCCTGAAGGCCACGGCCCACCAAGTTGCTTCTGTACAGGTGCCAACAACCTTTTCTGAGTTGGCACAAATATTAAAGACCCAGTGAACCCCAATGGGCTGACTGGTTGAGCCCCCAACAGAGCAGGACAGTGAGTCCTGGGAGGAGGGTGAACAGCCAACAAGAGTCCCATCTGAGGGAAGATGGGATCCTCAAAGAGCTGCAGTTCACTTCGGACAGAAGAGCCTACAGACTAGACCAGGCAGGATTTGGTTTCCCAGCTGGAGATGACGAGGGAGCACTTGACACCCTAGCACTCAGGAGGTGACACGAGGAGCGAGGAGCGAGTGCCTTCTCAAAACCCAAACAACAAAGAGCTACAAACAAAGCTGAGGCTGACAATGTTCTGGGACAAGCAGAGTCGTTAGGCCGAGAACAGCTTGGTACCCTGGGTGTTCATGAAAAAGCCTTCTCAAAGCGGGGGTGGGGGTGGGGTGGGGTGTCACAGGAAGTAATTATGCATTTCAGAAAAAGGACAGTCATTTCTTGACATTGTGGTTCAGCTCCATTACTACTCTCCCCTGCCCAAACTGAGCACCCGAATCAAATGTCAACAACTGTGCTTTTTGTTTGTGTTTTAAACGAATTATTTTTATAGCTCAGGTTGGCCTCCAACTCGCTATATAGCCCAGGCTGGCTTTGAACTGATTCTCTTGCCTTCACCTACCCATTGCTGGGATAATGGGGATGCACTACCACAACCAATTTATGTGATGTTGGGGATTACAATCCTGGGCAAGCAGAAAAGGCACTCTACCACTTGAGCTATAAACACTCTACCAACTGAGCCACAAGTACTCTACCAACTGAGCCACAAGCACTCTACCAACTGAGCCACAAGCACCCTACCAACTGAGCCACAGGAACTCTACCAACTGAGCCGTAAGTGCTCTGTGAACTGAGCTACAGTACTAGCCCTGGTTTGTTTCTTTTTTCCCCCTTTTCATCAGCATTTAATACATTTCCACCAGAAAATAAACCAAGTACTCTTAAAATAACTCAACATAACATGGCTTTCTTTCTGGTTTTTATTAACGACATTACCTTTTGCAGACATCCACAGTGTGCAATGTCAATGTCAGAACTGAATGGGCTGCAGGGTGAAGCATTTTCAGGTTACCAGGAGCCACCAGTATGCCAGGGTTGGGGCAATCTGTTATTGTGTTTTGTAGACCAGGTCTTGACACATAGCCCAGGCTGGCCTCCATCTCAAGATCCTCATGCCTCAGACTTCTGAGTGCTGAGATGGCAGGTGGAGTTGCTGGGCTCAGCTGTCTTGGGCAATTTAAATATGCCAAAGATGTAAGTGAAGTGATGGGGAAGGAACTGGGTGCTCGCTGGCCCAGGTAGTGCTTTCTGTGTGGTGGGGGTGGAACCTAAGGTACAGGCTGGCCCAGTAAGCCTATCACCCTCAAGCCACATCTCAGCCTTCCAAGTCCTTTTTGGGAATCTTGTTGGGCACAGTGGAACAGCCTTTAGTCCCAGCGCATGGGAGGCAGAGGCAGGTAGATCTCTGCAAGCTTGAGGCCAACCTGGTCTATAGTTGAGTTCCAGACCTTGTCTCAAACACCAGACCATCGCAAGACAAAATGAAACTAAATCCAACCTCAGTGAGCAGAATAGCCTCTGGGGCAGACAAAATGACACTGAGAGCTAAGGAGGACGCAAGCAAGCTTGATCCGAGCCACCCTCCAGCAGGAAAACTTGCCCTTCCCGTGGTCCTTCAAAACTGTAGCTTTCTTTATTGACAGCCTGTTTTCGAAGCAGCGGGTGGATGGCAGGAGGTGTCAGTGGTGGGGAAGAGCAGGGTCTGTGGCTGCAGAGGGACCACCACCCCCAGAAGCGGCAAGCGAGGCAGAAGAGGGAGGCGGTGGCCGAGGACTCAACTTACAGAGGTGAAGTCGGCAAAGCCAGTGGAAGAGGCCTTGGGAGGTTTAGCTGAAGAGGAGGGAGTGAACGGATCTTTGCCACTAAATGGGTCCCCAAACCCCTTTTTATTTTGGAACGGGTCGCCGCTGTCAGCCCCAAGTGGCTGGAATGGATCAGGGGGCTCGGGGAAAGTTGCAGAACCCAGCTGGCTTACAGGTGTACTCTGACCTGGAAAGTGTAGGGTG